AAATAAGCTTTAATTCTCGTAAAATTGTTTGAATAGTTTTTTCGCATCAAAAGAAATAAATAAATTCTTGTCCGCAAACAAACTAATATCATAGTTGTAGTCATCATAATAAACCACAATTTTGATTCTCTCTTTGAATTGAGAGCCAAGATTGGACTCAATGTTTACTTTAAATATTAGTCTATTTCTATTTTTTGTAAGATTTTGCTTTTTATATAAATAATATTGTGTATAGAATTTCAATTATAATAAGTTACATTTTAATCTAAAACTTTAACTATAATATACTATTGAAATAAACAATATAGCATTTATTTGAAATGATGTTTTATTACGCCACACAACATAATATTGTATTATTGATATTATATAATACAATAATTATATTGATATTATATAAAATGATTTAGTAATATAATATCATATTTGATTATTAGAAAATATTTATAAAAATAAGTTTTTCTTTTTTTTGAATTTAGCTCAATCTTATTATAATTTTACATAAAAGCATTTATTTAATATGAAAATGGATTTGCTTTCAATTGCAGAAAAGATATTTATTATACATTAGATTTACATTTTATGTCAACTCATATATTCTCACACAAAACAACAAAAACATAAAATTGAGAGAAAAAGTGGTCAAATATGATGATGACTGCAATGATGATCTTGCTATTAAATCTACTATCTTACTCTATTATATGCGAATAATTTTGTTGCATACAACTTTAGCAATTTTTTGAGTCAAATGCGAGTAAAACATTTACTTATTTGTTGTTGTAAGACAACACACTTAAACCGAATGTGTTTAATAATAAAATGCAGAGAAAGACAACTTATTATATTATGTTTATTGTTGTTTTCTCAATCGATTTATTGTCTCTCATCTACTTTTTCAAGAGTTAAGAGATTGAGATATTCAGCAGTTTTCATACGAAAGGCAATTCTGATTCCATTAGTATATTATGTTTGGAAAGTGAGTCAAATTATCTAATATTATGGAAATGAAGTTTAATTGAATTAACATTATTACAGGAATTTATATTATTATATCATAGATATATATATATATATATATGCTCATATATATTAATAGAATTTTGCGCTCAAATATTATACTAATTTCATATATAGTCTCTATATATAGTACTCGCAATTATTTAGTCTCAAACACTAAATGTGAGAAAAATATAATAAATTGAGTTATTAGTCGTTATAAAACTCAACGCATCCATTGATATCTTCAATCGTTATATTCCTATACTATTCTATACTTCAAACTTCATATTATATTGTTTACGAAAAAGTCTCACGTTTTTACTTATTTTCCTTTTTTAGCTCTTTTTTCTTCTAATATTTTTTTGTTTGCGGAATAATAATAGATTTTGTGATAAAAGTCTGCATAAAATATTTGACATCAAATCAAATTCTTATAACAGATATAAATTGTCTCAAAACATAAAAATACTCAGTTTTGACATGAAATTTGAATGAATAAAATATTCGCTCATTTAAACGTGGGCTTGAATTTTATTAGTAAATGTGAGCTTTATTTTAAAAGTTTGACTCATTCTCGAGCACTTAATTACAAATCGAGCCCAATATTAGATTTGCGATGAGTTTATTGATTACAAGACAAGTCACACAATATTGAAGTCATATATTGTGTAAAAGTTGTCAAAACAATAAGTGTTAGCAACGATTCCTTTCTCCTCAATCTTTGTTCTCTCTCTCTCTCTTGTGTGCAGATTCTTGACGTCTGGGTTTTTGGCGAGATTTGGTGTCAGGGCTGGTATGACATGATATTGTTGTGAATGCTTTTAGAAAGAGTGATGAAAATAATAAATTGCGAAAAGAAAAAGAAAATTTGTTAAACACAATACAGGACTTGCAAAGTAGTTTAGATTTGAAAACAAGTGCCTTGACTGTAAGTCTCTCTCTCTCTCTCTCTCTCTCTCTCTCTCTCTCCACTATTCTAATCATTGTGAGAGAACCCATTCACTCTGGAAGTGGAGATGATATTCAATACTCAATAGTGTATAAATCTATAGTTTTTTTGACGTTAGTCTCACTCAAGCAAATAGATTGCAAGTGTTTTAAGGATCTCATTAAATGAGTTACAACTGTGTAGTGGACATAAGGACCAGTAGTCCTGTAGTTGTATTGCTCTATAGATGTATAGTTTGACAATGAGTTCATGACAACTTTTGTTCATAATATAACTCTTCTAAATGAAACCAACCATTAATTATATATAAAAATTACCTCACATTCTGTACAATCGATTTTTTGTGTGCAGATTCTTGACGTCTGGGTTTTTGGCGAGATTTGGTGTCAGGGCTGGTATGACATGATATTGTTGTGAATGCTTTTAGAACATTGTATTGAATATACCGTGCATTTGACAACAGGTTGGTTATCGACGTCTGGATGTGTACAGCAAGCAGTGAGTACTAAGTGTTTGACACGAATTGACACAGAATTACTGAAAAAAGTTGTTTTCCATTCAGTCCTCAATCTGTGCGCCATTTCCATCGATCGGTATCTGGCGGTCACTCGTCCCGTGCGCTACAGAAGTATTATGACATCAAAAAGAGCCAAAATATTCATTGCCTGTGTATGGGTCCTGTCATTCATCATATGCTTTCCTCCGGTCAGTCTCTATGGCATTGTTTTATTGATTTTCATTCATATCTTATGCACTGATAAATGAATGCAAGAATTGATTATCGATTCAAATGAATAGTATATAGAAAATGAATTGTCACTCAAATATGGTTTGTTTGTATCCTTTGAATCGATAGCTCGTCGGTTGGAATGACAAGAAGACACCATTCATTCAGTCAGACAACAGATTGGATGCCGACTCGAGTCTCCATTTACTGACGATCACCACTCATTCATATCCGACAACATTAAGCAAACAAAGTGAACAAACCTCTACTCCTGTGCCCAGTCTTCATGAGCTGAACATGTCTTCCGTTGGTGTCATCTCGAGTACCAGTCCGTCGATAAACACTCCCAACAGTCATAACGACAAAGAGATTCATTCAATGAATAGTTTGAATGACTTTATTAACAAAACCAGTGATGAGTCGACTTATAACCGGGACTGTAGTCCCACTCGAGTGAAGTGCGCTCTGTTCCAGAACAAGGGTTATGTCATATACTCAGCCCTCGGATCCTTTTACGTCCCCATGTTTGTGATGGTGTTCTTCTATTGGCGCATATATCTGGTCGCTAGTCGGACATCCCGTGCCCTCAACAGGGGCTACAAGACCACCAAATGCAACGGCTCTCACGACGAGCGCCTTACTCTCCGAATCCACAGGGGGTGCGGGGATGACGTCCAGAGCACCGCCGCCCCCACCAATACGTCCACATACTTGTCAACCCATAACGAGAGCAACACTCTAAACACGACAGTCTTTTCCGCGTCCACCGGCGCCTCTAAGCCCCGGTCACCCCATTTGCGCCAAAACAACCTCGTTGAGAGCCAAGTGAGTGATCACAACCAGTCCATCACTTCCAAGTCGCGAAGAGGCGCTCACAACAAGCCGACCACCATTACTGTCACCCCAAACACCACCAGTGGTGCGACCAGTAGTGGCGGCAAAAAGCAAATGCCTATCACTTTGTACCGCTCGTCCCGACTCACAGCCAGTCTCTCTCCGAACAATTGCGAACAAAACGGTCAAAACCGACGGATGTCTCCCAGCAATCAGTCCACTCTCAGCCTCCCCTCATCCAGTAGTCCCTGCTCTTCGAGGGAAGGGAGCGCCAGGAGTGGCAAACTAGTGATGACCCGATTCAGCAAAAGGACGTCCAAATATCAGGCAAAACGATTTCACGCAGAAACCAAAGCCGCCAAAACTGTCGGCATAATTGTCGGCGGATTTATACTCTGTTGGTCTGTATCTCTAATTAATTCTCATTTATTGTGCCATTCTTTGCATATAAACCACTATTTAATGCCATTTCTTACAAAGGCTGCCATTCTTCACCGTGTACTTAGCAAGGGCATTCTGTGTTAATGAGGATTGTATACCCGATCTACTGTTATCTATATTTGTTTGGTTGGGTTATTGCAATTCAATGATCAATCCCTGTAAGTCCGACTCATTATTAAATTTATTATTCTGTGTTTAATGTAATAAATATTCAGTGAAATGAAATCAGACAAAACAGTGAAATATTTAAGCATTTATTCATTTGAAATAAGTTTATAATTTATTTGAACGCGAATTGATTTACATATTTATGTTAAAATCAGACGTTGAGGACAATTATTTCACACAAGAATTGTTTCCATAGTTTATAGCGTTTCCATAGATTGTCTTAAAAATGGTTTATAGCGTTGTGTTGTATAGTGATTGCAGTGTAGGTCTGTGTGCAGTGTGTAGTGTACGAGAGTTTGTGCTGAAAAATGTTTGAAATGTTTGTTTCATGAATTCAATTTGTTTCAGGCATTTATGGATTGTTTAGTAAAGACTTTCGCCGAGCCTTTAGGAACATAATGTGCCGGTGCAAGTTCAGGGAAGAGACTGTCAGTTCACTCATACGACAGATCCATATGCCCACC